GACAGCCCACCCCATCCCCTGTCGACCCACTGGTCAAGGAGGGGCCCGATTGCCCCGACGACGCGCAGCCCTGGGGTGTTGTTCCCCGAGGCTAAGAGCGCCTCTCGCCACATGGCGATTGTGCGTCGCCGGTGCCGGAGTCTCTGCCGAGCACGGTGAGTCGCCGACCATCTTATGGGTCTCCCCTCGGAGTCGCGGCTTTTGAGGAACATGTTACTATGTTCCTCCGCCGCGTACTCCATCGGGGGGAGACCAGCGATCACCGCCGCCGCGTTGTACGCCACGGTCCGGTACGCCCTACAGATCCTCGCGGCTATCGGGCGAAACGCACGCGCCATCTGAGCGCGCGCGCGCCGCGATGCCGCGAGTTTTGGGGCCCAAACTGGGGCCCCGTAGAGCGCCACGGACTTAACCGTATTGGCGTACAGCCGACGCACCTTGCCGTCCGGGCCGCCAAGGTTGGGGAGGAGCCGGCCAAGCTTGGCCGCTCTCACTCCCGCCCTGCTTGCGGCGCGTGCACGCGCATCCCTCGCGTGCGCCCTTCCACTGTCACGGGGGCCTCCACCTCCCCCCTCACCCGCGTGGTCTGGTTGGTCGCGGTGGTCACACGCTGCCCCGTGGTCGGGGCGAAGCTCCATCCCGCCGCTCGGAGCCACCTCATGATTTCGGGCCCAACGAAAGTGCGGCTCGATCCGGAGTCCACTAGCCCGCGCACTTCCCGCCCGGCAAGATCTATCCGGAGAAACGCGAGCGGCGCCGGGCCCTCCGCGCCGAAGGCGCTGTACACGACCGCCGGTGTCGTATCCGGGGCCTCCCCGCGCGGGGAGGCATCGGCGGGGGCTGGAAGCGAAGGAGTCGACTTGCCCCCGGCTCTCGACTCCCTCACTCGTTTCCCGCGCACTTGGGGCATGTCCGTACGGTTACATCGACGCGGCCGCACCGATAACAATGGATCCGCTCCTCCTCGGGGCAATCCCGGGCGAAGTGCCCTTCCGCGTCGCAGTTCCAGCACTTCCGGGCTTTCGCGCGCGCGCCCCCTGCGCCCTCGGTCGCGGCGTCCGCGGCGGCACCGGCGGGCGTCCCGGCGCTCGTCTCGCGGGACCCCCTTCCCTTCCCCCTGCCGCCCCGCGCGGGGACACCGGCGCCTGGTTCGTTCGCGCCCGACACCTGCAACGCGGCCACGACCCCGGCACCCCCCCCCCGCGCGCCCCTTCGGCGGTCTATACGCGAGATCGGGGAAGAGAGATTTCTCCGGCAGGGGCGGCGGACGATAGCTCAGCGCCGCGCTGTACCGGCTCTCGGCCCG